GAGTGGGGGACCTCATATCATCAAGAAAGCAGTGCCGGGAGCAGAGCGCGTCCCCTGCGCAGAGAAGCTCCTAGTCTGGGGGAACACCTAAGAGACGAAGGCTGACAGAGAGAAGAAGTCTTCCCCTGGAGCTGATGCCCTGAATTTGGACTTTTAGCTTACTTTGACTGTGAGGAAATAAACTTCTCTTCGTTAAAACCATCCACTTGTGGTATTTCTGTTATAGCAGCACTAGATGACTAAGACAAGTAGCTTCCAGAGAAAGGGTTAGCGGGAAGCAAATTTTTTTGAAAGCTTGCTGGTCAAAAATGTTATTTTTCTATCTCTCAGTTGATTAATGGTTTAACTGGATATAGATTTCTAGGCTGGAAACCATCCTCTCTTAGAATTTCCAGGGCATTACCCCCTAGGTTTCTCTCCTTAGGTATTTTGGAGATTTCCAAAGCCATTCCAATTCCTGATCCTTCATATGCAACTGTTTTTTTTTTTTTTTCTTTAGAAATCTTTGGGAGCTTTTCTTTGTCCTATTGTCCTGAAATTTCACAATGCTGTTGTCTGGCAGTGAGTTACTTTTCATTTATTGTGCTGGGCCTTTCAGTACCTGAAAATGTTCATGTTATTTATTTTACATGCTACTCCTTCTATTTTTTTCTTTTCTTTCTGGAAATCCTACTATTCAGATGTTGGATTGATGGTCAAGTTTTCTTATCTGTTCCTTCCTATTTTCTAGTTCTTCTGTTCGACAAATCTTTACTTAGCACCCACGTGTGCCAGTCATTGTTCTAGGTGCTGGGAATATAGAAGCCAACAAAACTGAAAAAAATCTCTGCCCTCGTGGAGCTTATATTCTAGTGGGGGAATATAGACCGTAAGCAGAAGTAAGTAAATTATACATTATGTTAGAAAGTGATAAGTACTATGAAGAAAAATAAAACGGGAGGAGGCTAGGGAGTTCAAAATATAGGGCTCTGTAATTTTAAATAGGGTGATCAGGGAAGATCTTACTGAGAAAGTAACATTTTGAGTAAAGACCAGAAGATGAGGGCAACAGCCCTGTGGATATCTGAGAAAGAATGGTCCAGGCAGAAAGAACAGCACATAAGCCCCGAAGCAGGGCAGGCCACGGCAGGAGCAGGTCTGGTGTGCCCAGAGAGAAGAGAAGCAGGAGAGCACAGTAGAAGATGCGGCTTGAGAGGAGGTGGGGGCAGTCAGTAGACTTTATACTGTAAATGACAGAGAAAGCCACCCAAAAGTTGGAGCAGAGGACTGATATGATCTGACTTACTTTTTAATAGGATTACCATAGTTGCTGTATAGAATGCAAGGGACAAAGGTGAAGCAAGGGTAACACTTAGCAGCTACTGCAGTAATGCAGGAGAAAGTGAAGAGTGAAGTCGGCTTGGACCAGGGTATCCTTTTACTCTGTTTCCTGGGAGATTTCCTCAACTTCATTTTCTAACCCTTCTATGGAATTTTTCATTTCTGCTTAGGAATTATTAATCTCCAAAAGCTCTTTCTTAATTTCTGAATATTTTTTCTTTTTTGGCATTCTATCCTTGTTCCCTACTGTGATCCATATCTCTGTGGATATTGATTATAATTCTCTTGATGTTTCCTTCTGTTCTTTCATTATCTCTGTTGTTGTTGTTAGGTGGCATTGAGTTGATTTTGACTCACACTGATGCCATGTGACAAGGTAGAACTGCCCTATAAGGTTTTCTAGGCTGTAATCTTTATGGGAGCAAATTCCAGGTCTTTCTCCCTGGGTGAGTTCCAACCACCAACCTTTTTGGTTAGCAGTCGATTCTTAACCATTGAGCCACCAGGGCTCCTTCATTATCTCTGATTCCTCTGAATTCCTTTTTGCTGTTTTGTGTGTGTGTGTGTGTGTGTGTGTGTGTGTTTTGGGGGAGGGTTTCTCTGTCCTTCCTGTTACACATTTCCCCTCAAATGTCTGGTAATCCTTGGCTATCCATTTATACTTAAAAAACCCATTGCCATTGAGTTGATTCCGATTCATAGCGACCCTACAGGACAAAGTAGAACTGCCCCACAAGGTTTCCAAGGAGCAGCTGGTGGATTCGAACTGCTGAACTTTTGGTTAGCAACTGAGTGCTTAACCACTGTGCCACCAAGGTTCCTTATACTTAAGAGCAAGGCATGAAAAAGCTGAGTCAAAGCTCTGTGTGGATGGGGCTTGCTGCATTATGGGCTTCTTTTATGGTATTTAGGCAGGAACTGACCTTTTTGTTGAGAAGCCTCCTCCCCATTGTTGGTACTTGTAGGTTTTTTTTCCCCTAAGCAAGTCAGTTTCAGGGAGAGATCCTGTGATCTCTTGCTGGAATGCTGGCTTTTAGTGTATCCTCCCGTTTTCAGCTTGGCACCCCCTACCTCAGCTGTGCTAGACATGTCAAAATCCAGAGTCTCTCTGGTTCAACCTTTCTAAAGGGTAACCCTCCAGTTTGTTTCCCTGGAGAGGGAATGGAATTTAGGGTCTAATTGCTCCTTAAACTGCCTTTTAACCAACCAGTCCTCCTGTTTTCAGCCTCATCCACGCTCTCACCTTAAGAGGTACCTAGTGATTACTCCAATTCCCAAGATTTTCTGGTGCTTCTCGCAAAAATCAGCTTGTTTCCTGGTTTCCCCCACTCCAGGACTTTGCTATCTCCACTCTCTTAAAGCTATTTCCACTTATCTATGCTCTCTAGCTTCTAAAATTTTGTTGATTATCTCTTGTCTGTTGTTGTCCCTTCCCCTGCTCTCTTTGTCCATGTGAGTTCATACCCTTCTCATCCCTTTATTGTCATTTTAGTGGGGTTTGGAGAGAGAGAAGTAAATTTATGATGTGTACCCATGTGATTCAATCTGCTACTTAACCCTTAAGTCACTTTACAATGTTTGAATTCAAGGTGTTCTGCCTCCCCTTAGATGGGGAGCTCTTTTCATTGCTTAGAACTGTATCATGCTTGGCCTGGGGGTCAGATAAGACAGAAGAACACAGGAATAGAAGATACCCACCCTTCCTCCAAAAAATTACACTCCATTTGACTCTCTCTTAGGGGCAGGGTAAGGGCCACTTTTCCACTGTGTGATTTCTGTGCGCCACCCTTTTCAAAAGGAGTCCCTAGGTGGTGCAAATGGTTATGTTGCCAGGTGGAAACCCCAGGTTCTGCTTGGTGTGACTCGTCTCAGCCAATAAACGAGAGACCGAGGTGGGAGAACAGAAAGGCGCTTTTATTTGGTTGCACAAAGAAAGGAGACAGTCGGGGCTGCTGCCGCCAAGACTGCTCAGGGAGGGCAAGGGGGAAGGGTTCTTTTAAGGGGTTTACAGGTAGAAAGTACATGCAAGTTACATCAGCAACACTCTTAATCATCCTACACATACAATGTCTAGCATCATGTGTTCAGAAAACAGCGGTTAAACTCTACCCAGAGGCAGGGAAGTTACTATGTATGAGGTCTAAAAGGTTATCCTGAATGTCAACATGGCGCCTAAACCGGTTTCTGCCAATTTCCTCTAGTTTTGGGGACAGGGGAACCAGGATTTTAATGTAAAGCTACGGGGGGTATCAAGCAAAGGAACCAAGATTCTAATGTAAAGCTATGGGCATGCCAAGCAAGCTGCTTGAAGCAGTGGAATTTTCCGCAGCTTGGGGACCTCTGTCTTAGTCACTGGACTACTAACCAAAAGGATGGCGGTTTAAACCCACCCAGAAGTAAGGCCTGGCGATCTGCTTCTGAAAGGTCACAGCCTTGAAAAACCCAGTGGAGCAGTTCTATTCTGCACACATGGAATTGACTCAAAGGCAACCACTACCACCAACAGTCCTTTTCAAAAGCAGGGAAGTCCTGCCACACCTGCTGTGTGTTTTATGTTTTTTGGCTAAGGGTACTGGAAGGCTGGGTGGGATCCTCAGAAAGGTCACAGGATTGAAAAGTCTGATTCATGACCCACACAGTCAGTGCTGAGCAGGAGGGTTAAAAACAAAAACGAAAACAAAAACTCAGAGATCCTATAGCACAGCGTAGAACTGCCCCATAGGAGTAACTCGGGAATTCAAACTGCTGACCTTTTGGTTAGCAGCCAAGCTGTTAAGCACTGCACCACCTGGCTGGAGGGTAGAGATTACCAAATTCAATTTTCCTATTTTATAAAAAGGTAACAGGCCCAGAGAGCTTTAGCTGATTTAGATCAACAGTTCAGTCCTTTGAGAAATCATACTTCTTTCAAACGATTGCTTGTAAATGCCAAGCTCTTTCCATTCATAAGGCTTTTGGGCCTAATGTTCCTTCTGCCTCCAGACCTTACAAGGCTGCGGGCCCCCTTCTGCTTCTCAGGTCAAAGGTCATTTCAAAGGTTATCCCTCCTATCAATGCACCCAGTTTTTTTTTTTTAAATTATACTCATTAATAGCTAAAATTATGTTATTAGTTATCTGACTTCCCCCATGGTACGTAAGCCCTATGAGAGAAGGCATCTTTTCTGGCTAGTTCACCATTTATCCTCAGGGCAAACCAGGATTTGAAACAAAGTAGAATGGCTCTAAAGCCCGTGGTTTCAACCACTATATTACGCTGTTATTTGATCAACAAAGTAGACGGTGGACGTCTTCATACACAAGGAGCCAGGAGGGTAAAAAAGAGGATCGTAAACCGGGAAGTGAGCAGTAGGAAAAACAGCCCGACTCATCCCCACCGTGCCTCTTCTGACCTTTCCCTCCGGAAGCGCTTGCCGGCCTCGGGCGCGAGTCCGCACGCGTAGCCGCTGGGGTTGCTCTGGGCCGCGCGCTGAGCGGGGACGCGAGGGAAGGTTCCGCCTCCGAGGCTGGAAGGCGCCTGCGCGGGCGGGCCTTCTGTCGAGACGCGCGTTCTCGCTCATTCACTCTTTCCCTTCCTCTCTCGCCTGCGCGCGTCCGGTGGGCGTCGGAGGAGGCGGGGAACGGGGGAGGGAAAGCAGAGGGGGCGGGTGTCGCGGGAGGGAAGGAGCGAACCGGAGAGCGTCGTCCTGAGAGGAGTGAAGGCGGCAAAATGGCGGACCGCTTCTCCCGCTTCAACGAGGACCGAGATTTTCAGGTAAACACGGGCGCCGCCGAGGACCCGGGGAAGGCGCTGGCCGAGCCTGGAACCTTCTTCATCCCTGGCTCCTAGATCTCTTTCCTGCCAGGCTCTGCTTCGGCTTCCGAACCGGCTCGCCGTCTTCCTATCTCCGATTTCTCAAGGGGCCTCCCAGCTTGAGGCGAGGCCGCATCTTCTCTCACCCGCATTCTCTGACCTCTTAAACTCAGGCCGCCGGGTCTACGGTTTCAACCTGTATGGGCTTCGGCTTTCGGAACCCCCGCCTGGGCGCAGTGGGGGTTGTGCGCCCTTCGGGGCTGCCGGGCCTGTGGAGGCGCAGGGCTGACTCCCCGGGGGAAAGAGGGTTGGGTTGCGAGGATTTGGGGCGAGTATTGCTGAGGCCAGGGCTTCCGAACCCCTGGATTTCGCTAATACGAATCTTCTTGGGCCCTTCTCTCTTTCCTCACTATGATAATAAATCCCTTTCTTTGCCCATTTTTCTGTTTCCTCGCCTGCAAAAAGGGTGATCAGACGCGTTCCTGGTTAGCCAGACATTGAGATTTCACCGGGCATAAATGTTGTTGTTAGCAGGCCGTTAATTGGACTTGGACAGCTGTTTAAGTTATAGGACTGTGGTCGATGTAAGCTCAGTCAACCCCAGATCCTATCTCGAAAGAAGATTTGGGGGAGCATGATAAATGGACTTTACGAGCATGTGAAAACTGGTGCCAAAAGCTCGATTTTTCTTTCTCCAGTTGCAGATGTTGGTGTGGAAAAATGTCCTTGTGATGGCAAGCATTATTAAGGAAAAAATAAGACCAATTTAGAATAACTTGTCTTCTGATTGTTTACAGTACCTTACTGTTGAGTATTGTTACCGTGGAAATCTCCGAGACTAAGAGGGATTTAGTAGAGATTGGCTATTTCTACGGTAAAATACATTCTGAGTGTCAGAGAAACCACTGCATTACTACCGCATAGCCGGGCAACAGCAATTTGGGTCAGGGGATGAACATCAGAACTCAAGTTTTTATCCCGCTGCAGATCTTCCTTTTAAAGCAACACGAGCATACTCTAAATGTGTTTCAGAAGGCAGTTTGAGGGATTTGAATTCCCTGAGATGAACGGGTTAGGTTTTCAACAGACTCTGTTTAGTACATAAAACGCTTATGAGAAGTTTTGCAGCAGTAAGGGATCTGGGGCTGTTGAAAAGCCTTGTGATCATGCGCCTGCTGTATAGCTGCAGCACACAGTATAGGATCTCAAGGTGTTTTAAGGATATGATGCAGGCCCACGGAAGTTTGAAGCAGTTCATATGGGCCATTTGATTTCTGAGAAAGATCACTTCTTAGTAAACACCATACAACATGAATAGGCTGCAATTTATGTGGACTTTATTGGTAATTTTTAAAGAGACAAATTGATAACGTCTTGAAATACTTTTCAGAGGTGAGAATTTCAAGGTGACCTAATAAAACTGAAAATAGATAAATATGGACACTTAAGTTTTAAGGAAAAATGGCTATCAACCACAGAATGCCAGCAGGCTTTAAAAAACACACACACACAGAGTTTGCAGGGCCTTGAAAGAAGGTTTTGAAAACCATGGGTAGCAGAGTATGAATGCTGTCACTTGAAAAAATTGAGGTTAGCTTCTAGTGTTTCGATACCTAGTGGATGACCCTGTGATGTTTTAGTTGGATTTATGTAAAACCTGCTTTTGGTTGCTTGGTAGTCCTTTGAAGGTACTACATGTATTTTAGGTTTATTTCCTGCTCTTGTATTGAAATAACCAACTCCTGTATTGGGTCAGGCGCCCTGGTGGCGCAGTGATTAAGAGTTTCGGCTGCTACCGAAAGGTCAGCAGTTTGAATCCACCAGCTGCTCCTTGGAAACCCTGTGGGGCAGTTCTCTATCCTGTGGAGTTGCTATGAATTGGAATGGACTCGATGGCAGTGGGTGTGGTTTTTTGGTTTGTATTTGGTCAGCCAGGGAAATGTTTGTTTTTTTTTATGTAGATGTCATAGCATTTTGGGTTAATAGACTATTGGGAATGGAAATCTTTTAGACAGGAGATGTTAAAATTTTTGTAAATTATTGTGCTAACATTTCTGCAGAAAATTCATTTAAAAATACTTAAAGTGGTATTTTCTCTGTTTTAATAGAAGGAAAAACAGATTGACTTTCACTAAGAATGTCCTTTGATTTAAAGTTCTTGGAGAGGAGAATGTAATGTAATAGGATACTCTTGGTATGGTGTATGTGAACATTTTTCAAGTTCAGGTTATTCAAAATTAAATGTAGATTATATCCTACCAAAAAAAAAAAAAAAAAAATTAAGTGTGGCCTCCTTTTCAGGTTTTTAAGTGATAAATAAGGCGAAGCCACTGAATATTGTGGCTATTTTATTTGTGATAATAGGCTTGAAAAATACAAAGTAGGTTTCCAAACATAGTAGATAGGTCCTGTTCCTTTAAACAGAAACCCTGGTGGTGTAGTGGTTAAGTGGTACGGCTGCTAACCAAAAGGTTGGCAGTTCGAATCCACCAGCCGGTGCTTGGAAACTCTATGGGGGAGTTCTACTCTGTCCTCTAGGGTCACTATGAGTTGGAATCGACTTGACGGCAACAGGTTTTGGTGGTTCCTTTAAACATCTTCTGATAGCACTGGAAGTTTCTTTGTGCCATCTTCTCTGAAAAGTTGTAGATGACTGTTGTTTTCATGGCCTTTATTTTGGGAAGATAATTTAGAACTGTAAAATTTCAGTCTTTGGCACGTGTAAATAAATGTTGGCGAGTTTGTTGTCTCTTGAGCTTAGTATGGAGTCAGAGAGATGGGCTTATGGATTTGGTGGCGTTGATTTCAAAGGTGTTTTGTATAATATAGCAAGAAGCTTAACTATGGTATGCCGTTGGAAGCATTTATGAATATAGAAAGTAATAGTTATCAGGACATACTTTTTTTTTTTAAATTTTGGTAGTTTTACTATAATAAACAGGCATTGTTTTACAGGCTTAACACGTATCATCTCATAATTTTCAGAATAACCTCAAGAGGTAGGTACTGTTATTACTCTTGTCTTCAAATGAGACAGCTGAGGCACAGAGAGTTAAGTAACTTGGCCAAGTACATACATCTGGTAAAAGGCAGAGCTTGGATTCAGACGTGGGATTTTTGACTTCTGAACCCTGTGGTGATGACCATTAAGCTATACAATCTCTGCTGGCAATTATGTATTTTATATAACTGTAATTGAGTCATCAAATGTGGAGGATAAACTTATAGGTCACAAAGAGTAAGTGAGCTTTAGAGAGTTGATACAATTACACTTGTTGTCCTATTCTGTTTTGTCCAGATATGTTTCTTGGTCTCCTAAGGGTTTCTAAGGAGTCTCCTGATAGTGATAAGTTACCCACTGTGTCATAGAAGATGTATTGTTTAGTGTTGTTTTAGTTTAAACGTCATTTTGTTTAGCCTTTTTAAATGGTATTAGATCTTTGGAAATGTTTGTGATCTAGGCTGATGTGTTTATTAAAAAACAAAAAAAAAGTTTCAAGAGTTTTAACTACTCCTTTAAGAATCTGACCTCGTTTTCAGAATGAGACATGACTTCTGCCTGCATTTACTAGATTGCGGCTTATCTGTTTACAGATTGAAATGTCATACAAACTAATGGAAAATATGTAATATAATTTAAGATAAAAGTGCATTTACACTGTGAATTGTAGGTTCATTAGAGAAAGTTTTATTTGTACAGTGCTGTAGAGCTATAAAGTGTTATTAAGACATGGTGCTTAGCATTTTGTCGTTGCGCAGCTATTAATGGTGATGGCTCATGCTAGTGAGGACGTAGTCTTCAGTTTGTGTACCTGCAGAGGACTGATGATTTAGAGTCGCCTCTCATTCTGTCTTGATTTGAATGTTGCTTTCTTGTTTGTATTAGATTTCTAATGAAAGGAGCTATGGTAATAGCTAAATAAGTGAGAAGGCCATGAGAGAGCAAGAAATGTCTTAAAAGTCATAATAAAAATATAAAAATTGCCCAAGAACTTTCTATAATCTATGTAAATAATCATAATGGCAAATAGCAATAAGCAAGTCATGTATTACTTTTATGTAGTGTGTTTGTAGTATTGTTCTTTGTGTTTCACGTATGATAACAGGATGTGACCTTCAGGAAATTTTAGTTGAAACCATTAAGTTAGGAGCTTTATAGTTTTAAAAGACATAGATAATGGAAGCATATTAGTATATATTCTATGTGGTACTATGTAAAAGAGGTGGCAGTCTAATGCAGGCATGCCAGAGATGACACATGGACAAGTGTTTTAATCTCTGTTGCCTGGGTCTTCCTTGCTGTCATCTGGAAGAGCTGCCGCTAGCCTGAAAATCACTATCAGCTTTGCTTGGGATACTGACACTTATGCAAAATTATTACTACTTCCTTTCCCGTAGTATGATAGGTAGAAAGGATTAGAACCCTAGTTGTAACAATTTCAAAATTGTTGTTAGTTGCGGTAGAGTCATTTCCAGCTCATGGTGTTCCCATGTGTTACAGAGTAGAACTGTCCCACAGGCTTTTCTTTTTCTTGGCTGTTACCCTAATGGAAACAGATAGCCAGGTCTTTTCTTCTGTGATATAGCTGAGTGGGTTTGAACCACCAACTTTTAGGGTAGCAGTTGAGCTCAAACTGTCTGCACCATCTAGGACCATAATTTCAAAATACTGATGACGACTTGACATGATTATTAGCAAACGCAAATAATACTGTTATTGGTTAGTACATTCTCAGAGGATCAGGAGTGACCAAAGTAAGGTCAGCATAAGGGAAGGCTCCCTGGAGTTGATTTGAAAGGTAAAGGGTATACTTCAGGCAAAATGCTTTAAAAATATGGGGAACAGCAAGGAATAACATCACAAAGAAAAGCATTTTAATTTGCTTTGGGGGAAGAATGGGGTTGGCAAGAATTGCGATCATAGGGCTTCATGCGATGGTGTACCTATTTATTTTGTTCTC